CATATTAAAAGACCATTATTGCATTTTGTGCAAGTACACACTGCACAATGACAGATGGAGCACAATCTACACTCAATGAGCCTTAATGACTAAGTGAAAACATGGTTTGTCTCATGAGACCAGAGGATATTTTTCCTCACGCTCTTTAAATGCTGCTTGGAAGACTCTAAGCAGGCTGTCAGACGCCTTTTACTCACAGTGGTTTCCATCAGCTCAATCAAAAAAAAGGCCTGATTGATGCAGAGCTGCTGCCATGGTTGTCTGTCCGGCAGGTCGTTGCACCTCTGCAGAGGACGAATGAAGCTCTGTTGGAGTGACTGTTGGGTTCTTGGTCAGGATCATGGTTCAAAAAAACCTTTCATTTCACAATTACTGTTGCTCCTGGGAACACAGGCATGGTTTTATACCTTCGCCCTGGTCTATGCCTCGCCAAAGTTTTTCTTGCACGTCTACAGAAAGTTCCTTGGACTTCCTGGCTTGGTTTTTTTGTCCCGAGATGCAACGTGAACTGTGGGACCTTCTAAACACAAACTATGTCCAATCAATTCAGGTGGCCACAGGTGGACCGCAGTCAAGTTCTAGACACAGCTCAAGGATAATTACCGCAAACAGGACGCACCTGACCACAGTTTGGAGAAACGCAGCGAAGGGTCTGAATCATTCTGTAAATGGGAGGTTTCAGTTTGTGATTTCTAATTTTGTGCAAAACAATTTCAAAAGCATGTTTTCACTTTGGCATTAAGTGTTGATGGGGAAAAAAATGCAATTTTATCAATTTAAAATTAAATCCACAATAAAGTGAAGGGGTCTGAATACTTTCTGAAGACACTGTGGTTTTAAATAATTGGCGTTGGATATTGGTTGCTCAAGTGGAATTAACCCGACAAAGTGTCAATACCACAACATTTTCTCTCTCTCCACTGTGGTACACTAGTAACTTGTAGTAACTTCTACACGTGTATATGTGTGCGCACTTTGGGATTTTGGTGTGTGCGTGTCAATACCTCGAGGCTGGTTCAGTCAAACCCAGGACTGGAATTCAAGTCAACCACAAAGGGGGGGATTTCCACGTGCCTCTCACTCATCTTGTGTGGAACATAAAATTGTGCGTCATCCCGTGGCTGCATCCGCTAGTGCGCCTCACTTCCTCATGGCTAGGGGGCAGAAACCGTTCAGCTGGCAGTGAAGTAATGTTTGACTCACACTTCAGGTAAAGGCTTAATCAATTTATATCATTATGGAGTCTGGCTTTGAAGTTAAGGCTGGACTTCAGTGCCACCCAGTGGTGACAACAAAGATGGAAGTTAATTACAATTAAGGTGGGAGGGGGGGTTATTGGAAGATTATGATAAGGAAGGAATAAAAAAAAGTCCTAGATCTTTTATATCCTCTTCAACGAACAGCACCGTCACCTGCTCAAATTTTTGTTGGGCATCACCAAAACACCTGAAAATGGGGGTTTCAAAGCATCACAAGAGAGCAGGGAGGAAATCTGCAGAGTCACCGTTAGACAGCAAATAAGTGTGCATGTAACTAATGACAGAGAGGGAAACTTACCCAGTAGTGTTGCCCAAATAGATGCCTCTTAATTGTTTCTTTATGCTGTGTTTTCACAGTCCTCCTCAATGTGCAAACTTGGAAAAGTCTACAACCAGAAAGTTGCAGTCAAAAGGCCACACAGGCTAAACACCAGCTTACAAACTGGGATGACTGACAACACGGAAAACTGGAAATCAGCTAATTTACAGCAGCAAGGAATTTATGTCTGGTGTCCAGTATTTAGGTTTTGCAGAGGCTTTTTCATGGGTCCAACACATGACATTAAAAAAAATGATCATTGATGGTTTGAATGCAAATCCTCACTTGATTATTTCTCAAGGATAAACAGAATGCAGCGTATTTCACATTAATAACAGGAATCATAAACAAAACGATCAAAAAACAGGGGGAAAAAAATTACAATAAAACAAAATAAAAGTAGAGAAAGAGAACAAAGATTTACACTTTCTGTCCCACAGCCGGGTGAACCTCCAAGAAACAGATAACAAGGTCTTCATAAAGTGAATATCACTTCACATCACTGTTAATATTGAAATCACAGGTAAAAAAAGAAGAAGGTGTGACTCAAAGCCGCCTGGATTCACTTTATTCAGGTAAATGATACAGGTAGGTAAAAAAGAAAAGAAAAGAAAGGATGGTTATGTCTTGACAAACCATGAATGAATGATTATCCACCATAAACAGTCATGCATGAACTGATCAATCAAGTTTATATGTTTAGTAAGCCTGTCACCTTCTCATATTCTCAATTCAGATTTGACTACACGGTGTATCACAATTTCATTTGCATTAACAACATGCAGCGAATAAGTGCAAGCCTTGTTTCTTATTAGTTCAAATTCAGGACGCCTCTCACTATATGCTGATTTTACAGCGGGTAGGAAAATACAGAGGGAGTCAATGGACTGATAAAGAATAAATGATAAATAAATCTAGTTTACAATGGTAGATACAGCTACTCAAAACCAAGAAAACGTCATTACAAGTTTATATTGCTGTTCTACATGTGACATTTTTACCGTGCTGGCTGCATTGTTAATAGTTTTGAAACAAAGCTTGTCCAACAAAGCTGTTGATTATGTCTAAAAAGACAATTACAAAAAATAAGGAACAGTTGCTGCAAATTTGTATTTTTCAAAGCCAAATTTCAACCAGGTTTTTGTTGTTACTAAAATAATTAGGCCCCAAAATCGGATCAGGTCATCAACAAAGACCACAATCTGTCTTTTTTTTTTGTATTTTACATCAACACATTTAGGTAGTGGCTTCATGTTTTCTTCAGTACAGAATAAAAAGATGACAAACTAAGTACGAACTAAAAAAGTAGTGCTAAACTGAAAAGTTAACAAAAACAGACAGTATTTCAGACGTTTTAAAAGGGGCTTTCTACTCAAAATAAAAACGATTCTCTACCAAGTAGAACATTTAAAATAAAGATCATGACAACAGATCCAAGCTGCAAAACCAGCTATTAGCAGGTCAGATAAAGCATACACTTACAAATATAATTGATCAGCTGCCGTATTTGTAAATAAGCTCAAAGAAAAATAAACAAAACAAACTTAATTACTTTTGATACAAGGGAAATATTAAAAAGTATTAACAAAGGACTCTGTGTAAAGCAAAAACTAAATCCTATAGGACTGGCAACCTGCTCCTACGGAAACCTCACTACAAAGACGACACTACAGATATTCACAACCTAATATTTAGATTCTGCTAAATTATCAGGGGATTTTTTAACGACCCAAATTTGCTAAAGTTGTAAAGTTTACACCTAAAAAACAAAAAGTCAAATATCCTTTACAGACAACGGGACGGCTGAACCAAGTAATTAGCCCACTTAAGGATGGTATCCAACTGCAAGTATTTGGCTCATAAAAGGCATTATACAGGATCATAAACACATTATAAGCATAGAGCGAGCGTCTGCTTATTGTCCTCAGAGCACTGATGTACGAGAGTGCAAACAGTTGTGGGGATGAGTTTCTGTAAAAGGTGATGTCGTGACTCTGATGTAATAATTTTACTGATACATACTTTATGATTATGTTGTAATAAATAAGATAACCTGTGTTGATCATGGGCTTGTCATCTGTTTTTAGTGCAGTAGGGTACGCTGAAATACGATAATAACAGTGCCAACTCGTAAATATACTCCTGGAGCTCGTTAACAGTCTATTCGTTTTGTTTTTAACTTTTAGTATGTAATGTATATGACTAAAGAAAAACAATTCGGTCAGCGCATCTGTGTTGGTTTTATAGAGGTCATAATACTCTTTGAAAATGTTTTGTATACTGCACTTTTGTTGCTACAGATGATTTTTTTTGGGCTGTAATCACTATAATGTATTCCCTCACAGGTCATGACAGTTAATGGGCTTGATATGAATTCATCCTCCTTAAAAAAAAAAAAACAAAAAAAAACACCATCTGAAATCGATCCAGTCAGCAGGTTTGTAATATTTGCAGGTTCAGAAACCTAATGTAAGCTTAAAAACATCCTTATTGAAAGTATAAAAAAAGCCATTAAGAATAGCACTGTTCTCACCCAGAAATGTTGCAGGTGTGTTCCTGGAAAAGAACAGACTAACTGGTAAAGATATGTAACGGTAGCGAGATTAAAACTGCTCACGTATGGATCTTCCTGTTTCTAGCTTGCATCTTTCTTTTTTTTTCTTTTTTTTTTTTTAAGTGAAATGTTTTGGAGAAGCAGTTTTATGTTTTCGGTTATTTGCTCTATCATGGCAGGAAATAAAAGTTTCTCTTGGTGTTGTTGGACAAACCGTTTAGAAACATGTTACAGTGTGACGCTGGAGCTGCTATGACCAAACTGAGAGATACAAAAAAAAAGCATAACCTCGATAAACACTGACAAATTTCTGTACAATATGTATGAAGCAGTTACACCAGACAAATCATGGCTGCAAGCTAAAAATACTTTGTAAAGCCAGACAGAACCGAAAATAACAAAACAGGAAAAACACATCATCGCCGGCTGATCTCAGAACATTGTCCCCCCAGTATCAGCTGTCTCGACTATCCTTGTATACGCTGCTCAAATTCACACGAAATGGGACTCTGATTTATATCAGTTTACAGTAGAGATATTTAAAGGCACATTCTGCAATATCTCCTATTGCATTATTGACTTAACGAGGACACACAGTGTCTCGGATGCGAAGCACCTGAAAACCAGGCGCAGCCCTCATCGTCCAGCTGCAGAGACGCAGAAGCAGCAGTTCCGATGCAACATGCACCACCAACAGGTAAAGACGGTGAGATGACATGCGGCTCGCCATCTACGGGCAAAGTAAGGAACGACTGCATGCACGTACTATAGTGTTTACTAAATGCAGAGTTACAGCTGCTGTTGCTTTCATTTTTACAGCTTCTGGAAGATTTATATTTTACATTTTAGCAACTTCATGTGCAGAATTAGACTTTTTTTTTTTTTTTTTTTATCTGGGGTGACTCCAGGTAGCATAAAAAATATACTAGTACTGTTGCAAACCCCACAGACAGCTGGTTTCTGTGTAAAAACGAGGTCAGATCAAGAGGTTTGTCTGGTCTGTCTTGGGCTCTAAATACTTGAATTTTAAACTCTTTTGTTACCAAATAATTTACATATCTCATCATTTATTGCAGCTATAAAAAAAGCTGCAGGTGCAACATTTATTGCCTGCAGGCGGGACAAGTGTTGAAAATTGCAGCAGCTATTTCTGTCCTGTAAGCAACCAACAGACATCCAGACATCTGCAGGTCTTAATTGGCGCTGCTATTATGTTCCTTCCCTGTAGGTGGTGCAGATTGGCATGTGATGAAGCAGACAGTTTCAGCCTGTGGTTAATCTGCAGTCTGCTAAACACGAGTGAGTGATTTTGTGAGTGACAACAAAAAGGTGCTTCGCATCTAAAAAAAAAAAAAGAAAAGAAAAAGAAAAGAAAAAAGAACGATGACACCTGATTCATTAATGGCTTTACCCTTTCTCAGCACTGTCCCTCTGCTCGCTACGATTCAAAGTTAGCAATGATGACACAATAAGGCTGAGTAGGAAATCTCGCTGACTGTGCCTTTAAATGTCCTGCAGGATGCAAAACATACAAATGCTCCGGAGCACAAGGTTTGTTACTTCTTCTCAATCTTCAGTGTTTGTACAAAACTCCAGAGGTCCTTGACCACCTGAGGAAGGTGTGGAGGAGAAGAGGTGGAGGGGTGGGGGGTGGGGGTGGGTTTTTACAACAGAATAAGAAAGAGACAGAGAAATTATAAATCACCCAAATGAAGTGCTACAGAGCATGAGACACATGACTCACTTTTACTACAACATGCTTTTGTGTGTCTCACCAGTGGGAAAGCGGAGTTTAGATGGGGCTGTTGGGGAACGACGAGGGGTTGGGTGGGGGCAGCAGTACATACCAGAGTATATGACTAGGTGCTCCAGGTCTGACAGATCTCAGCCTTGGCTGATGAAACCAAAGCACTTCCACAGATGTTTCTACACACTGGGATCAACAAGCTCTCCCCGACCCAACTCCACCCCCACTCTTTTCCTTGTCCGCCCAGCCCTCACTCCGCTCTAAAGAGCTTTCACCTGCTCTCATAACTGTACAGTTAACATTTTTAACACTGCAATGAAATCACAAATGAATGTTCAAACAGGCCTTTTTCGTGTGATCACCAAACAGATGTTGCAGATACAGAAAACACAGCACTGCTACCTGACACGTTGCCGAGACTCGTGTGATAATCTAAAGGTTTTGCGGTGATTCATTCATGCTCTGCAAAACAATGTGCAGGAGCTGTTGTTTATCTTCTGAAATGACAAGCAGTATTAGAAAAGATTTAAGTCCTGCATTTAGAAAAACCCTGTTTTGGGGTTGGTCAAAGGCCTTGAATGTGAAAGAGACTGGTACCATCCACATACCACAGGTCCCTTCATTAAGGCTACAAAAGACACACACTCCAGTAAATCACCAAGAAAGAGTTTGCCTTGGCAGGTGTACTCCCATTCCATCTCGAAAGAGCCCGCTGACACAAAATGAATATAATTCAAAGAGAACACACTGTGCTGGAGAGACGATGGAGGCATACTGGACAGTGTAAGGTACGAGGACAGTGTGAAGAACAATAATGCATTCCTGGGTATCTATCATGGAAAAAGAGCTCTTAAAGCTTAAATGACGGTTGATGTAAATGTTTCCCACTGGAAAAATGTTTAAGAAACTAAATGCGGAGATTGAAAGGCGAAAAAAGCAAGACATTTATGTAACTTGCATGTGTAATGTAAATGCTACAGATTTAAAAAGTTAAAGAAATGGTAATTATGGGTCTCAAAACTGTGTGCAATCAATTTATAAATAAATATATAACATATAACATATCAAATGACCGATTACTTACTTTTTTGTCTGAGATTTTAAAAGAACTCTTCACGAAATTCTCAAACTTCTGCTCCGTCTTCGGTAGGGGTTTCCCCTGATGAATAAGGCCATTAAATCATCAGCTTAACTGTGCAACAGACATTCAATTAAGAGTGGCAATTTGCAAAAGAGGATGACAGCCTTACTTCCTTGGCTGCTGTCGACAACTTGCTCTTAATCTCAGGCAGAGAGGGAGATTTCGACGGGCCGGCCTGGAGTTTGTCTTTTCCTGCGGCAGGTGTCTGGAAAAATACATCAGCCAGATAAGAAACACTAATTGATACGTCACATACAGAGAGATTTATAGAGTTGTAGATAAAAAGATACCTTCATATTATGCCACAGTATTTCTTCTTCTACCCTGGTTCAGCTCCTATAGCTGTAACCTTTTTACTTTTCTGTGTTCTCATCTGAACTCAACACAAAATTACTAATTCTGAGTTATTGGTGATGAATTCATTCGCTGACCAGTCTGGGCTGCAGCCCTATTGTGACCCATTTAGTCAGGTCTGTGTTTACAGGCTTGGCGTGGGCAGCCAGCTGGAAGAAGATGAAAGCAATAGAAAGGACAACAAATTCTAGCCTAATTACACCATCTTTTTTTTTTTTTTTTTTTAACCAATACATCAGGTACAAATTATGTTTTTTATTGTTTGCAAGCAGGAGAGGGCAAGCCCCGACTCTTCAATGAGCAATAGACAAATGGGTTTTTCCACTGAAGGCAAATCCTAACAGCTGAACTAAAGGAAAAAAAAAAGGTCAAAGTGCAACTTATGTTCTTGTGCTTATAGTTATACTGACATTAATTCAATGACTTCCACAAGAAAAGATGACACTTTTTTTCTGTTTACTGTTTATGAATGGTCAAGTCTAAAAGGACAACATGTTGGGAACCCCCCCCCCCCCCACAAAGGTCCTCAATTAGGAAGTGTCTGAATGTGACACAACAACAACACACACATACACATACACACACTCACACAGAGACACATACGCACGCACACACACACACGCCATACACCGTGACTGCATGTTACACAAGCCGCGGAGCTTGTCCCTACACGCAAAGCCAGTGTGGAATCCAGTGAAATTGCAGGGTTTCATTGATAGCCAGAGACACATTTGAAAGAAGAGAGGAGCGATTCATAGAGCAACGTTTCACCGAGCAAGTCAGAAAACAGCAGAACCTCAGGAACCAGTGAACAGCTTTTTGTGTGTGTGTGTGTGTGTGTATATACGTGTGCATGTGTGTGGGGTTTTGTTTGGATGATAAACACTATACTATTCTACACTATGATTCAACAGCTTAGTGGGCCGGAGAATGGCGCTGATGATTTCAGGGTCGGGGTCTTGTATTGTAAGCGGGTTTGGCTCATCATTTTGATTTTAGTCATTTTGATTCTGCTGATCTGATTTGATCAAATCCTAGTTCCAACCTTTGTCATTTTATTTGAGTAAGAAATTAAAACAAAATCTGTTGGCTTCACAAAACCGACCCTCATGTTCATCAGATTTAAGCTCTCATTAACACAGATTTGCCATAAAAGACCTGATACTGTGTCATTTTGTTTTATTTTAAATCAAAATAAAGAAAATAGACATGCAATTCCCTGCCATGCACAAGTTAAATGTGCAGTTTAACCACACCTGGAAACAGCAGCTCCATATGCTCCTGCATATAGACATGTACAAAATGCTACAGACACTGGCAGTAGATCAAAATTTTGCACTTAGGAAAAGACAAATTGAATCGAAGAACCGTGTTTCCTAATAAAATCCCTGCCTCTAATACTTTAGCAACTGGTTCAGAGCTAGTTTTCCAACTTCAAGCTTGGGAAAGCAGGGTGAGACATGAAATGGTTAAAAAACAAGTGGAATGATCTTAAGAAAGTAAATTATCTCTCTAATTTTAAAAAAATGCAATAATCTGTCCCTGTCCCGAAGAGATCTGCATTTTATAGCACAGATCAAAAGGTATAAAGTGGAAAAAAAAAAAAAAAAAAAAAAAAAACTGACACACATGCCACACTAAAAAAAAAAAAAAAAAAGAGCACATATGCTGCTGGCTCCTGGCCAGACAAATGCACTACGTATTTATTATTTACGGGCAGCTCTCTACTTCCAAAGGACAGCTGTGGACCTGAAACAGCTGATAAACACACAAAGCCAGCAAGCTTTTTCATCTGGGCCAGACACTGATTACAGATGCCACGAGACATGGAACTTAATCACAAGCACGCTATCATTTGATGCAATCTCTTGTCTTCAATCCAGTGCAAACACATGGTTGTGACACCTTTGCTCATCAGGTCTGTCTGGGATGGTAATTATCATTTTGTTGGAATGAGGGCTTTGGGGGCCCATGTCTGGGGAAAACATCAGGTCACTGGGAACTGTGACTCTAATCTGATGACTTGTATAAGTATATGTACGTATGCAGGTTGACGTTATGGACGCTGATGATGCTATGGTAGAGAAGCAAACATCCCCACACTCACGGGAAAAATAAATAAGCACTAACAAGATAGGCACCTGCTGCAACACATGTCAATCAGTCGTTAAAACAATGACTCACACCCTTTTGGGATAAGCCTGAGTGAAGTGGTTAACAACTTTACGACTGTGACGTGTGCTTGAAGGCATCGACTTCTCCAAACCCATCAATCAAAAGACACCAGCTGCGAGATAAAGTTACTTCAGATCAGCACAACTCGAGTTAGCTGGTTCTCATGTCGAGCTTGTTACGCAAGAAGGTGCAGCTACATGCTGGGCTGCGAGAGGTGCAAACTGCGGTACTGGCAACAGATCTGACAAGCCAATCTAATGACCAGTCACCTGCATTTAGGAACGAAAAAAACAGACATCCACGCCCGCTTCCTCGCTCCTCAGGGGCATCTGGAAGCGCAAGCTGCACCAGACATCAAACGCTGGTAATGAGAGCAATTGGGAGAAGGTGTGTCCAGGAAGTGAGGGGTGTGAAGAGGTTGTAGAGAGGGAACAGTTGTTGTGCAGAAGTGGAGAGGGGATGGGGGCAGTCCAAGCTCCACGGGCCAGAAAGTTTAAACCGGCGGGACGGTTTCGGCAATTCAGCTGCGCCATCGGCTAATCCCCCAGAGCATTTCAAGAGCCACTGTGTTATGTCTGGACAACGGCCACTACAGAATTAGCTGCACTCTCCCACGCAGTAAGAACGCTGACCCTGAGGGGAATCGCCCTCTACAGCCTGAGGAGTTTAGCAATCCTGTGGCTTAGTGTTTAACATGATAAAAATCACAGAGCTTTCTATCAAGACGTCACACGAGAAACGACAATTTTCCCTCATGTGCGAGTGAGTGTGCAACAGTGTGTGCGTGTGGCGGAAGCTGTGTTCTATCATACAAGCAGCCAACATTTGCATGCCAACACATAACACCTTATCTAAACTGAGCTCACTTTTAAATCACATGAGACATGCTTTGTGAAATTTGTAAACTTGCAGAGAAGCTTGCCAATTTGTATTCTCTGATCTGGATGTGTGCTACAGGGGGTTGTAGGGGGTGGGGTGGGTGGTGGTGGGGGGGCATCAAAGGTGGTTGCAACTCAAGACGGCGGGGTCAGGCCAAGGGGTCGCAGGTTTAAACCTTGCCCCAGGAAACCCGTTTAGAGGTCAGGTGTGTTTGCTTAAAGAGAGGCAGAGTTCAAGCTTTGGGGTTTGAGGGGCGGCTGTCCAAGACATTCCACCCAAGAAATTAACTATCAGGTTGAGCTAATTGCAATGTGCATTTATCACATTCCTTGGCGGTGGAATGGCAAAGCTCTCCAAGATTTTTTTTTTTTTTTTTTTTTTGTGGCTGTTTTAATTGTGAATGTCAATAGATGCAAACACTTACCCTCGGTCATAGAAGCCCTGTGTCTTTTCAGGCTCATGTCTGAGCAGAAATAATTAGACACAAAAAGATCAAGTTGTTTGTAAAGGATTTCTTGATTTCTTTTTAAGTGTGCTAGTTATGTACCAAATTTAGCTTGCAGGCCTCATCAAGTTGTCACTTCAGACATACTGTAAGTATTAAGAAGTCTGCGCCTGTGTGCCAATAGGGATGTTTTAAATTTGCTTGCTCTCCACTGCTTTATTCAGAGGAGAGTTATATTTCTTTACCGTGATACCCATCTATCAAAAGTTGCTCCTAAACGACGCAGTAGTGAAGCGGATGCTCCCATGTTTTGGCCTGCATGATGTCTTTCATTAGGAACAGAGTTGCTGGCTTTGGCTGTAGGCTGGCATCACTGCAGACCTAATTAATCAGTCAAACAGATAATGTCCAGTCTCCATCTAGATCTAAACTGACCTACGACACAAATCTAGCTGCAAACTAACTCGAAAATAACTTAAACCAACAAATTAAACTGGCCTTGGATGGGGTGTAGAAGGGGGATTTTATAGAGAAGGGTGCAATTTATATGCTCTCGTTATTGTTTTCTTTATATTTATGGACTGATTCAACAAACCTTTAACCCTGTCCCATTATTTTGTTTAAATCAAAAAAAAAAACAAAAAAACAAAAAACAAGAAAACACAAGTCCGCCTTTATTGCAGCTATAAACCTGCACTGCCCTTCCAATAAACACAGCACAAAAAAACTGGCTCTTAGTTGAACCTAACACCCGATCCTTGTTCTACAGTATGTTGGCTGTCAACCATTTAATCCAATAACAACAACCCAATCACAAGTTAGCAAAGCTGGGCAGGTGATACAGGCTTTTCCATACCTTAATCTGTGGTTTGACCGCGGATCCTGACGGTTTCCCTGCAGGGCCGTTTTGTTTCACTGGAGTCTTGTTGGGCTTCTTTGCTGAAGACTCTGACCTCTGAGAAAGCAAAGAAACACAAAAATGTGTTGATTAAAAAAAAAAAGAAGAATTGATAATTAAACACCAAGCAGAACACTGTCTGTGGATCAAAAGCTCGGAAAATCACAGTAAACAAAACCAAAAGTAAGTAAGTGCTTCAAGAAAAAGTGCTTTAACTTAATTTGAAGGCACTGAATTAAAAACTGCAAACACTCCTGCAAAGATCCATCGGTTTAGACTGCCGGTCCATTTCTAAAAAAGTAACAACCCTGTTTATGCAGTACATATATATGTCAATTAATGATATTCAGTCTGTTCTTCTATATTATGTTGGGTATTAAAATAACTTCTCTGCGGCTCTGGTAGTGCTGTCATGTGATTTTAAAAACTCCCATATCAACACACTTATTGCCCGGCCTCGTTTACAGCTGACAAATTATAATTGGCATTTAACATAATGTGCATCACATTTGTTTGCAATTGTGGTTAATTTTCTTCCAAGTGCTTTGCCATGAGGTGTTCATATTATTTTCTCTCAACCCTGCGTCAGCCTGTAAGTAATATCAATGCAGCACTTTAAAAAGCCCTTTAACACAAGACGACAAAATTTAAACTGCAACAAAAATCAACAGGGAAAACGGCATAAAGTCATTCTAAAGCTAAAGGAGAGATGGCAGCGCTAACGCTAAGAATTAATAATTTATTCAGCTCCCAGTAAAAGGTGAATCCATCTGTACTAAAAATATAACTGCAACAAAATCAGGAATTTATATGTGACCAAAACTGAAATTATCTCCAAGTACCAGAGCTATATGAAATTACAGAGGAAACTCTAGACACACTTGGTAATTTCTCACTGATCAGATACTTAGTACCCCAATGACCTGTCATTGTTCTTCTCCACACTGGAGGCCTTCCCGTCAGGTCTCCATTGCTCTCAGGCACCTGTGTAATTACCTTGTAATAGCCGAGGCAAGTACCTGCATTTCCTGAGCACCAACCCTTTCCTTGCAATCACTGGTATTCACCTTGGAATGGGCTAGAAGTGTAATTGCCTGCGTTGACATAACTGCTACAAGGCAATTACACATGTAATTTCCTAGAGCATTGCCTGGTAATACAAGATGCTGGGAGGCTGTTTCAGTGAGGTTCCAGAGCTTTTTTCAATCACAGTGATATTAACATACAAAGGACACTGACATGGATGCACCTGAGTGTATGTGTTCAGTATTCAGACTGATTCCAGATGACATGATATTAATTGGGTGGCTGTCTCTCTTGTGACTGTGTTTGTCTTTCAACAATTATTTTTTTAGCAAAGTAAAGTGACGTTTTGGAAAAACAATACAAACAATTTTTGTATGTGACAAGATGAAATGTCATGGTGTTGTCCGTCGTAATGGTCCGTTCTGATGAAAAACTAGACAGGACAAGTCCAGAGGTCGGGGGATTTACAGCAAAGGTCAGACGTCTGTCTTTAATGTGGTGAAGATCTGCTGAGTGTTTTCTGGTCGTGTGACTCTTTCAGAATTTAACCAGATTATCCAGGAAATCCAAAGTGTCGGATCATTTCAAGAGGCTAAAGGACGACCCCCAGAAGGTGACACACAAACTCCATCCATCGACCTCAAACACGGCCCATCGTTTCAAACATGTAGGTAGCCTAATGCTCACGTCCTCCACGCTGGCACATTCAAAATCAACTGCAACTAGTTGACTAATGGTTTAAACTAACGACTACTAGTCAACCAGTAAAGTATTTGGATCGGGGGCAGGCCTCCTTGTGTCGGAGCAGTCAGAGACATGCAGCCCTGCAAGCTCATATTCCAGGTTCCTGTGCTATCAGAAAGTTCTGTAATGGGAGCAAAGACTTGTTGGAGACATGAACTATGGCCCAGGAGAAAAAAAAATATTCCTGTGATTGAAGCAGGTAAAGTTCATGAGTTCCTATTTAGATCTCAGGGTTCCTGTTGTATAAAGGCACCCTTCCTGTTTTTGACTGAACAAAGGAGTGTGCTTAAATCTGTAAGCACTGCCACTTTTTTTTTTTTTTTTAACATTGGTGTGTATTGCTCCCAATGCCAACACTGGCACAGGCAAGTTGCTCTGTTGCCAAATTTATGATCGTCTGAAGTAATGATGTAAGATTTACTTGTCAAGGCAACGCTGTCGTATTGCAATTCCATCTACTAAATACGAGTCACATGTAGGCCACATGCCTCAGGATCTTATTTTGAAACATCCAATCTGGTCTAAATAAGAACTGAAAATTATGCAACTCTATAAAACGTGTTTTCTCTCCACACTAGGCAGAAAACATCAAACCTGTGTCACATGTGACCAAAAAAAGAATAAAAAAAGATCAACACATGCGCACTTTCAGCTGGGTGCAATTGAGCCTGAAATTGAGCTCAGACTAGGTGCTTGAAAATGTGTCAGTACAAGATTATTTAGTATCAACACTAGTAAAAGACATTTTTTTAGGCTATAGTAAAACTTCTGACGTCTAAAATACAGTGTAAAGTTTTCAATGTTGTCCAGATTTCCTGTTCAGGTCAAAAATATCTGATCAAAGAAAAAGCAAACTAGATTACAAGTCTATATACATATCTATATATATAGATATATATGTGTATATATTGTAATGAGATACAATATGACAAAAAAAGGAAAGGAAACTGTCTTGAAATCTGGCTGAATTAGCTGAAAAAAACAAAACAAAAAAAACAAAAAAAAAAAACAAAAAACATAACTGCTCCCAGCCCTACTTTCTAGAACTTTGTGCCTTCATTACTGAAGAATGAGACAGGACAGCTATGGAGCTAAAGAGAAGAAGGGTGAAGAAAAGGATTAAGGTCATCAGGGGGAGGAATGGGGGGGGGGGGGGGCAAGAAGGTGGAGAAATTGGAAGAGAAGACAACAGAATAAATCAACAGGTGACAGAAATGCTCAGCTGTCATCTGACCCTGAGGCAAGGATCGGCGCTCACGTCGCAGGTATGCGCATCTGCCCTGCTTTGATCTTTTGCCTGGCACAGTTTGCACTTGGATGGCGTGTTACAAACAAAAAAAAAAAAAAAAAAAAAAAAAAATGTAAAAATGAGGCAGATACACACATGCACCCACACACTTGCAAGTGATTGTGGTAACACGCAAAACAAGTGTTCAAAGGCGAAGGCCAGGTGCAAAGCTGAAATGGCATGAGAGAGACGATAAAAAGGAGCAATCATATTAACAGTGGGATGACAGAGGGACAAAGATATGCAGTGTTACAGAAAAATGGGGGGAAGATTTTTCCCATAACTGGTGCATGTGTGTACGTGTGCATGTGTGTGTGTATGAAACTGTTTGTAGTGAGCTTCTCTGCACGTGCACTGTAGATAAATATATATGTAAATATATATATATATATATATTGTTAATGTTTGTGCATTTTGCAAATGTGTACTTAAACGTTTAAGTGTACATGTCTACAGTGTATCTGACTGCATGGGCGTGCATGTGCGTGCATGTGTGTGTGTAGGATAACATAGTGCTGTCTTGTTGGTGAGACGGTGAGAATTCAAGCAGATTACAGAGGAGAAATCCGATCATTACGCCACACAGACCCTGTGTTTTACTCGGGGAAAACAGGTGGGTACATGAGCGAACAGGATGAAAAAGTTCCATGTTTTGTCTCATACAAAAAAGCTGGACGGTCAGCGAGTGCAGGAATGGGAAGGGCCTGCTGAAATGAAATGCTACTATAGGGTACAGTCTGTGGGAGTTTAAATGATGTGGTAGAAGCTGAAGGGGGAGTGGGCAGACTGCAGCAACACAGAGAAATTCCTTTTACACAAAGGAAATCTGAGGGCAAGGCCTTGGCTGCCCTGACACCTTGTGGACAACAGAGGATTGGAAACACTCCAGACAAATACAATCTACTGTTTAAAGGTTTGATTTCAAAACATGCGCTACGACCATCCCATAACCATTGAAAGATTTTTGCCTGATTTTGCGTCAGAAAGTTTAAAATGCCAACAAACGATGTTGCAGCTTGTGTTGCAGTATTTGTTTTAGGACAACAACAGAAACTCATCTTTCAGGCGGCATTAGTTTGGTTACTTGGTGCTGCTCAAGTTCAAATAACATTGTTTTAATAAAGCAAACTGAGCAAATATACCGGAGAATCAATTAATTGCTCCACAGAAGTTCTGGGTTGGCATGTTGATTTAATGTCATGGCAGTCACACAGGTTCATATTCATCAGTGTTTAATAGTAGGTTATGCAGGATTCTGAAAATGCAAGTGTTTTGCCAAATGTGATGTAAAGTATGTAAAATCATATACATGTTCATTCCAATGTTCACCTACTGTTCAGCTACTGGTACAGTCAAAGTTTAAATTTTAATATTATCTCTAAATGTAATAAATAAACAAATCAGACTTACCTTTTCAAGCTCTTTCCCAACATTTTTCTGAGGCTTCACAACGTTGTCATCGCTGTCGTCTTCGTCATCATCACTACAATAAAGTAGGAAGAAAAAAAAAAGTGTGTGTTTTGGGCATGCTCAGTGACTGAAAAAGTTCAGCATAGAGGAAAAAAACAAAACAAAACATACTCATCATCGTCTTCGTCACTGTCTTCTTCATCGTCTTCATCGGAATCCATCTTTAGTTTTTTCTACAAGGAAAATCAATAATCCGTTTGTTAGAAAAACCTTCAGTTTCAAACAGAAATAGCAAATAACCACCACAGCCTCAAACATTAAAAAATGATTTAGTCTTATCATTATTATTATTATTTAAAGCTAAAATAAATACAGTTCAAAAATTAAACGCCATGATTTTACAAAGGTTATGAATCATTTTCTTGCAGAATTAGACAGAAAAGAAGAACGCTCTGTCCCCAGATGAATACAAAGAACAAACTGAGGATTACACCTGCGGCGGCTTCTTCCCCGACATCAGGCTTGCAGGTCGTTTCACTGGCGACGTGTTGTTCTCCTCTTCTTCATCATCTGAATCCTTCACACCTACAAAGCAAACGCTGGTTACCAGCTCAGGTTTACGGATGTAAAATGAGGCTCTGTTAACTTCATTAACAAGGAAGATGGAGCTGTCAGCTCACTACTTTTATCTTACATGAGGTTGAGAAGGTAAACACTTTATTTTAATGATGTGGTTGAAATGTTGCCTGAGTCATAGTATGAAAGTGTGTGTCTGTAGTCCTAGCAGAAGGAAAGACAACCACAACAGTAACAGCTGTTGCTCTAATACTCACTAACAAAGTGCTGCCCGCTGATGTGAACTGGTCCAGAGCCAGACTGGAGACGGAAGGTAACCGGAGGAGTGATCTCAAATCCACCTAAACTCATCTGGACAATATAAGAATGACAATTATAACAAGACATAATCTTCATAGACACATAAATATATATATACATACACATATCTGTGAAAAGCCCCTTTAATGTTTTCCAAAATGCTGCCAGTGTTGGCGTTGACTCACAGATGGCAGGACGGACGGCTTCAGTACGACCAGTGGCACTTTGGTCGTTTTTCCATCATAAGTGAGGCCCTCGACTTCCACCATATGGAACTTATCCTCCGCCTCAGCTCCCAGACACACCTGTAACAGCAGCACAGCTGATCCTTTACACCACCACCTCCGTGTCATGACATCATGGAGGCATCATCAGGCCAATGCTGTTCACCTGGTACCCTTTGTCTGACCTGATGATGCACCACAACAAGTGCAGGTTTCAACTGACCAACCTCATGTTTCTTAATTTCTTTCCTAATAAGGTTTTCTAGCAAGATTTCTGCCTCCAGTTAGGTTCAAAATTTCTTATACCCAGTAATACCAGAAGAAAACTACAGGTCCAGTTTGACTAATAATAATAATAATCTCATTAAACTACTAGCTGTCACATTTCCCAGTAAAGATACCAAACATTTTCAGGGTACAGCTGTTAAAATTAGAGCCCAGTCTTTATCAGTCAGTTCACTTCACACATTTATTCCACATTTTAAAAAAAATACCTTTTGTCCAATGGACAAACAAATAAATTTAATCCCTTTGGTCCCTTTTTGACATTTCATTGAATGAACGATTGTTACCCAATAAAATAAATACAAAATGAATACCATGTAAGAGAGAGAGAGAGAAAGAATGAGATCACTACATGAAATCATGGAAACCACCAACAGATCATAATATAATAATTATATATATATTATACAGTAAATATATAACTATTAAATAAAAAAAGCTTTTTCTAGACTTCATGACCCTGCAAAAAAAGGAGGACAACAAGAAAAGTGCAAGACTAGAAACTTGCCACAACATGACTGTTCAACATAGAGCTGTCTAAAAATATACAAGTTATATATAAAAGTTATACAAAAGCTAACTACTGCACTGAAGCTTCAGTGACGTCCTTCACTTGTAAGTCGCTTTGGATAAAAGCGTCTGCCAAATGAGTAAATGTAAAAGTAAAATATAAAACATACACAGAGTTTTTAATTAATAAAAATGGACTCTGGTCTGACCTGTATTTATTCAATCAGACTGGATGAAATCTTAGGAACATGTGAACATACAATTGTATGGCATATTACAGATTTTGTTGATATTTGAAGTTACATGAATCAATGAAGCCTCTTTTCACTTGTCTGCAGGACGTTTCTATCTAGAATTTGCTGATATTTAGTGGAATCCAATCTTCCATCTACCTGTGCAATATTTCCTGAACCGCTGCCTGCTATGCAACCCCAAAGCAGAATATTTACGCCATCCACCCCCATGGTTTAAAGACTTGGTGAACTATTATTTATTTTTTTATTTTTTTTTACATTTTATTGTAAATATTTGAGCCATTAAATAAAATGTAACAGTATGAAGAACATGACATTTGAAGAAAGACTCATTTTAACATGTTTGCTGCAGGCTGCTTGTATTTGCATCCTTTCACTTCAAAAATCAACATAATATGTAATTTGACTTGGGGTGCTCAAACTATATATGAACCTTCTGACCTGACTGCACCTGCACAATCAGAATAGATGTACATCTTGGGAACACAGCACTCAAACATTGTTGATTTCACTATTATTATTTAGCAGTTATTTGTTTCATATTGACCAGTTTTCGTGTTCTAGGGCTAACTACACTAACGTTTGCATATATTAAACCCTTATAATGCTTCCCTTTGAAACACGTCTTCTTCTGCTGGAACAGTTTTTCTACGTGCAATGAAAAGTGTCATCCTTACTGCTTTGAGTGACAGCTGTTGCTCCGTATCATCGTCGTCTACGTCAACTTTGAACTCCCGTTTGTCCGATTTGAGGGTGCAACCTTGGGGGGGAAAAAGACATACGTGCAACGCGTAACTAACCTTGTGCTTGCACTTATCTTGAACAACACACACAAAGGAATAATACTGCTGGAGATAGGGGGAGTTTACTCTTTGCCATGCCAATGCAACCCCATGCCTTGCTAGGCTAGCTAACAAAAGACCTGAATTGGCGCCGAGTGGGGGCAGGCAGGTTAGCCAGCTATTTAGCTAACTTCCTCCCGCTTAAAATGTTACATGGCTAATTGTGCATGATAACAAGGCAGTAAAGCTGATTGTGCGACCGAATAATTTCAGGTTTTTGTCGGAGTAAGCGAGCTCACCAAACAAGTACATTTGTGGTCGGCTCAAATCTGAGATATCGTCCTCCATCTTTGAAGTGGGTGGCGAGACTTCCGTACACTGGCTTGACGGACACGTCACCGAGCCAATGAGGAGGAACTACGTCACCTTACGTCAAAAACATTTGAGCATATAGAATTTAGAGGATGGGCGGGACGACCGGAACCGAATATTCTACTGTGTGAACACTAGATGGCGGTGTCGATATGTAGCTTGATTGAATGGCCAAGAATAGAGAACAAAAATATATTTAAAAAAAAATAAAAACGACTCTAATTATTACGATTAAAAAAAATAGTCAGGTTGTGCGTCATTTTTCAATAGAGGTTCTGGTTGATAAGGCAAAAAACAGAAATAGCCCAACTAATGCTAATGATAGGGCATTTTAAATTGTTTTACATAGGTGGGGAAAGTCTATATACTGTATATTAATGCCTTGTATAAGTTCATTTAATTATTCATTTCTTTTGTTTTATTAGTTTATTGACCAGGAAAATATTCAAAAAATATTTGCTGGACAGATGTAGAAAAAGACACAGAAGAAAACACATCATCATTCATACACAGAAAATAACAAATATACAACTATACATTAGTACAAAACTCATCCACCAGCAAATTATATCACATGATAATACATTAACTACAATCAATACACAAAAAGAAATTAAAAAAAAAAAGAGGACTGATCAATACAGACAACAAGATGGCAGCAGGGATGGCAAATAATATCCTCATGTCCACATGTTTGATTGCCAGTCACTGCTTCAACTGGGCAGTAGCTGTGACAGGGTGCTTCATTTGAATTGCATGGATGAATCTATTATATACTGGCATGTGTAATATATAGCTGCACATAAGTTGATGTAAGTACATAAAAGAGATATTCCTTGCCTGGTTTCATCACTTTACTGACTAGCTGAACAGTTTTATACATTTGTTTCTTCTTATTTCATGCACTGTAACTGGTTCCCCAAATAAGCGTTGCAGCTTTTATATTAACACTGGGATTCTCTCCCTTATGTCCATCATTTAATGTGCTGTTTGGACTAAATAAAAGAGGCCTTTGGCCAGTGATATTAAAAGTCCAGCCCTGGGGGCATTTGCAGTCTTTGAAGAGTCTTCTGTGGTTGTTAAAAATATTGATAATAAAATGGAGAGCCATTGCAGGCTCTGATATTACAGCAGAAATTAATCTCTGAAACTTTCCAAACTGCATAATGAATAATTTTATTAATGGAAGTGTTTGTTTTTGGGAAAGCGCTAAGGGCAATTTTATGTGTATAAACACATTCCTCTTTTTGGTTTGGTGATTTAAATTATGACCAAATATTCTCTTTTAAGTTGAAGGAGACTATAATATAAATCAGATGACTAATTGTATGTGTTGCTAAAGGACCAAATTTGCTAAAACATCTCTTTATTATAAAGACTGTATTTTTATATATTTTTTTTAATATATTTTTATTTATTATTTTTTATTTATTTTACAGTTTTGATTCATTACCTCACCCTCAATATTAGAGTAGCAGCCCTGGAGCTCAAAGGCATTGCAATGGGTCAAGGTCTTGAATCAAGGTAGCTGGACAGGCTGTTTACCCACTGTGTTGTTCTGACCTCTCCAGTTCAACACTGACACCATTTGTCTAGGGCAGAAAAGCAGCCATTCACCTCCACTCTTCCAACTTGACCTTAATTCATTTCTGCTGCAAGAGAAAAGATCTCAGGCACCTTAAACAAAATGTCTGGAATCTAATTGTGAAAAAGCAGCTGAGTTGCTAAACAGGGAAATGTGTTTTCTAACCTTAATAAGAGCCTCACAGTGTGTCAGTATCTGGTGTTGAGTCACCGAGCCACAGTACCAGTATTATCTAAAAGGAATGAGTCGTCTTCATGCATGCCTGAAAGTTTTAGAAAGCTTTAATGTGTCACACACTGCCAGGACATGTCTGTGCATCCTTTCTTATGGCCGATATGATGCTGATGCACATGGACTTACTCAACACATTTATTTTGCACTTGAATCCTGAAGGTGTAGGGATATAGGAAGTTGCCTTTTTTTATATTTACTCACTGTAACATTCACTTTATCTTCTCTCTGTCACCACACAGCCTGTTTCTGAAGTAAGTATATATTTTATATTCTTTATCAAAATTTGAGGTACACTAGATTTTATTTTCTTTTTTGCTATTATGGCTAAATTTAATATAAACGTCCCTCTCAGCATCAGAGCTACAGGGCTCATTCTTACTGCCACTCACAGTACTCACAGTTTAATGGGAAGACGTTCATATTTGTGCATGCTTGCTCTTTGTCCCCCACATTTACTCTCCCACGCAGACATGGAGATGTATAACTGTTTGTACATGCATGTGTCAGCAAGTGCATGCATACGTGAGTGTGTGTACGCATGTGTAACTGAAAGACAGAAGAGACAGAGAGTCATGAAAGCGTGTCATGTCAGCAGGTTGAGTTAGTGCTGAAGTCTCTGCCACTGCTGAAAGATCCTCGTTCTTCAGCTGGATGTGACTCGATGCTCCTGGATTTTCCTGCTACAACGGCCGACAAGTTGTTTAATAATCATCAAACCCAACCACAATTTACAGTACTAAAAAAGTAATTAAATCCCATATGAATATGTTGTTAAATATTTCCTATATTCCATCAATTTATTGTTTGGTCCTTTTATAGATTCTTAATCCTCTTTTGAGAGGTTTAAACGAAGTTTCTAAGATCAGCTCCATTGAACCAGATTTTCATCTTAATTCAAAAATAAAATCAAACCATCATTTGAAACCGACAGTCTCAACCCAGGAGGTTTACATCATATGAATTAAAAGAAGCCAAATGACATCATGAGGAACAATGTTTTGAAATTTGTTTCCTGATCCATTGCACATTTGAAGATCAAATAACAAAACCAAATCATACAGGATTATTGCATCAATCACCAGAGCACTGTGGTTCATTGTGTTTCATTACTAATGTTGATTATCAATGAATAGGTTAAAAAAACATGATGTCAAATGTTTTCACTGACTGAATGAGACGCTGATGTAAGCTGACTATTCCATCAGAGAAAACTAAATCTATCTGATTTTTCACATCCAGTCAAGCAAAACCTGTTTGTGATTTTTTTTTTAATTTGTGCCCACTTCCAGTATTTTCACAACTCTGGTTTCACCCACATGTAAAAACCCGTTTATGAATTCTTCACACTTGACAAAACATCAGTGGGGGAAACGCTACAGATCATTAAACATCACGACGTAGGTCAGTAATAGTTAATATCCGTCCACAGGAGAATTCCTCCACACAGCATGCACTGGTTGCCTATATTCTCCAAATAACTCAAACTCCGGGGCTGTAGCAGTGTTTTAACTTCAGGGACCGCAAAAGCCTTTTTGTCAACAAAGCCTCTCATGTCAACACATTAGCAGTGATCTAATAGAGTTTGGCAGCGTGAGGTGGAAGCTCCTTTCCTCCAAAATCTGGGTGCCACAGCAGCTGTCACAGCCTGAAAATGGTTGTTAGGACTAATATTATTCCATCTGCTATCATGTAAAAAAAAGAAATAAATAAAAAATCATGTATTGTACAGTTATGGGCGTTAATGCAGATAATAGTTTAATAAACACATAAAATCAACCAGACTCTTCAGTAAACTGCAGCTAATCTTTATTCAAACACTCCTATTCTTATGCTCAGCTTTCATAAAACAACAAATGTGCCACCAGTTGAAACAGATGAATCCAATGAATCCTGAATAAACTCATTATTGGGATTAGGTTAAGTGACTGAAATCTGAACACAGTTTTGAGCCAAATGTGCATTATCATGCTTGTTTATCCTGCCTTTTATATACAGTACAAACAACCCAGTGAGCAGTTACAGCACTGAATCGTCATTTATAAACTGAATAAATATAAAAAGGTTTATCATGTTTATGTAGTAAATGACAAATTATTGAACGCTGACAAATTGTTGTTGTAGCTGGAGAATCAGACAATCTGTATAATGTTGCAGTGACCAAAATCTCTCTCAGTGCGTGTTCAGGAATCAAACTTCCAACCTCAGCAGTGCTCAGCTCACAGGTTCACTGAAGCTCTAATAGCTGCCTCATAATGACTTCAATGTTTGCCGTGTTTCTCAAGAATGGAAACAAGTGATGGGAGCAGACGGCGCATGACACAGAACACAACAAAGAGTATGTGGTGAATAGTTTTTCTTTTTTGTTTTTTGATGCCCCTGTTCAAAACAAAGTGTTTGATAGGAAGTCTGATATACACTGCGCCTCTTGCTCTTGTTCATCTTGTGTGGTGACATTTTATTGGATAAGGACAGGGCTCTGTGGCGGCGACAGAGCGAGGGGGGGAGAAAAAAAAAACACACACACACACACACACTACAGAGCCATGACAGGAGAGGACAGAAAAAAAATCTTTAAGCACCTGTAGTAAAACACAATGCGTGGTTTTGAAAACAGAAAAAGGAAGGAATTTTTCGAAAATGGGCCAAGTCACGTCTTCAAGGCATCTGAGACAGAGAGATGAAAGAAGCAGCAGGGAGCGGAGGAAGTGGGGGTTGAGGAGGCGTCACCTGGAGAACTGTCTGCTACTGACAGGATCCCAACCAGGCAAGACGCCCGAAAAACTGGCTAAACATAGACGCTGTGTTTTAGGGAAAGCCGAGGGGTTGTTGAGGTTGGATGCAGTTGCAGACAGCTGTTTCGAACCACATCATCAACTTGCCCTGAGCGAAGGCTTGGAGGATCCAGCAGGCAGATGCCAGCGAAATCCAAACAAAAGGCACAAGAGGTTTACTCAGGAGTTTGTGAAACACAGGTCTGTGATAGAGGCCTGTGATAGCCGTTTGTCAGTTGCAGGCACGGCCAAGATTAACAAGAGGCCAACGTTATGCTGAAAAAGAAGTGGAGTGATTCGATGTGGATGAGAGGGGTTGGTGTGCAGCGAGGCCCATTTCCTGTGACATTCATGGTGTTGAAGGCTCATTTACGAGCAAGGAACCTGAATGAGTGTTTACTGTGCTTCTACATGGGTTGTCTTTGTTATGACTTAGGTGATAAGCATTTGCATGATAGGGTGGATGTGGTGATAACAAATCTTTACGACTGTCTGGTGTCTAGGTGGTCATGATTCACCAAGACAATAATGGCAAAAAATGATGTGGGAGCGAACATCCACAAAGGGATTTAAAACTTGCTTAAAAAAAAATCTCCTTTCCTGATGAAAAAAACCTAAATAAAATAATCTACACAGTGTTGTCCAAAAGACTCAGACCTTTGACCTCCACTGCACATGATGTTGTATGTCAGGTGACAGGCATTCAAGGAATTTCTTGAGGACAGACAACATCCTCCTGTAGGTGTCAGCTGATTGACAGGAAGCAGACTGTGACATGATGCAGAGCTGATACAAAAAAACAGAGCAACTTTCACCGAATAAAGCTACGGCTTCTACTTTAACTGATCATCTCATTCTAGGGAAGGTCGCTTTTCACACTATGCAAGTTCAGCTAGTTTTGTAAACTACATCCGCACAAATACATTTCAGTTTATGTTTACACCCGGTGTCCTCACTATACTCTGGAGTTTGCAAGCTCCCGAGACTTTTAGTTTGAAAACTCCAGGGTGGTGTTTAAGTCTGGACGGGCAAAAACAAAGACTTTTAGAAACAATGATTTCAAACACCCAAGTTTGCCTCCTGATTGGCTCTTCAGCCTTGACTACCAGTGGTGAATATAACTCGGATAACAAATTAAAAGCGTTGCTGAACCTTGTTGTCTTTGTTAGCAGCTGTTGTGCAGTAAAATTCTGCATTTTAACACTACAACTGCCTTTGCTGTTCCTAGTTCCTAATATTTTCTACAACCAACCAGCCGCAGAGTGGACAATCTGCTTCCTGCTGAATGGTGAGACGCTCATCTGGACAGAAATCGTTTTAGTCTTAGAACGTCATTTTCAAATCAAAATGTAGTAGTGTGGACGTAGCCTCAAACGTCAAACTCAAAAAACACCTGCACTATCCTTTTAGGTTTCCTCCTCCAATAGCTGAATGATTCTTCCATTGAGGTCTTCCCCTGAAATCACTGGAATAAAACATATAAACAAACAAAACAAACATAAGCAAAACCTGGAGCACTGCATTTCAAATCTTCACTTGGCAGCTGCACATCTCGTACTTTCTCATGCGCTCCCATTCTAATTTGAGCTGGCATCAGTTTTCCAAACCTTTCTTTTTCTTTATCCGGGGGGAGAGGGGTTTCTGAGCACACTTGCTGTTTTTCAGCAATGCCCTGCTTCACATTCACTCATGGGAGCTGTAGTCATCAATTTTTATGTATAAAAAAAAAAAAAGATATCATGATTGTGCTGTCCTTCTGATACAATCTGATGGTATCTTACCTTTGGGTGGTTTGAAACTTTAATGTGTAATCATAGCTAAATCCCACGAGGCTAACTATCTCCCCGCTAAAATCATAAAGTATTATTGCATGGTTTTCATAATGGTGACAAACGCCGAAGAGTAGCAGTGTGTGAAAAATCTGACAAGACAAAAGGAGGCAAAGAAAAACAGAGAGGTTTGTCATCTTTTCAAAAAGTCACAATATCATTTAATATAAAACACCTTTAAATTGAACATAATGAGGAATCCGTGATCAGGAGTTCCTCCAATCCACTACCACTTGAATGCTGCGGTCGGGGAGGAGCTCCACCTCGACGGCAGCTGACTTCAATGGTACTTCCGAGTGCACACAGAAAAGGGTTGAAACATGCATTTACTACATTGTACAAAGTCAAAAGCGAAAAACAGGAGGTCTTTTTTTTTGCCATTTGTGGCAGACAGTCTCTGCCGCCTCGTGAGGGATCCAGAGGCAAAAGAGGGGACAGTCTTGATAGTTGGGCATGTACAGAGGTGTCCATTTGTTTCCTGGCACTTAGGGATAAAGTGCCCTCCTCTCTTTTAGACCGACAGCTGAAGGGAAAGCGGAAACTTGGTGTAAGGCAGGAAAATGACTCAACACACGTTAGATATTTAAGATAACAGTTGAAGACTTGCTTAATTTTGACAGACAGCAAAGTCAGTGCGGCTCCTGTGCTGTGAAATCCGCATACAGTGAGTGTTTTGTAGGTCTTGGCAGTAACACATAGCTGTCTCTCTCTACACATGCTCCCCCACCATATTGCTGGTAACGATCAATGAGGGAGGAGGCAAGGTCCATTCAAAAAAATTTTTTTTTCCAGCAAGCATCATTTTCCTGTATCTATAACAATCCCATAATGGTACTGCGTTTTTGAACGTCAGCCACGTCAGAAATAGAAAGAAGAGATTCCTCCCTCTTGTCCATTCACACTGATGACAATCTGATATACACATTTTCATCCCTCCCTCTGTCCCTCCCTCTCTCTCTCTCTCCTACACACACACATACACACGCACGCTCACACTACAGATGCCACGGAGGTGACGGAGGTCACCTTATTGTCTTCTGCCCAGGGCTGCAGGTTCTGCAGGGCGTAGAGGGAGGAGTTGTGCAGGCAGAGTGGGTCCGGCTGCAGAGGCTGGCTCAATGTCTTCTGGAAAGCTTCCTGCTGAAGCTGCAGCATCAGCCGATTGGCCTGTTGCCTCTCTGCCTCTCTCTCCTCCGCAGTCTGTCTCCTGGGTGGATGGAGAGAAAAAGAAGAGCAGAGGAAAATTTAAGATCTATATGATGTTGATTTTTATGGGGGCATGTACACAATATCAATTAATGCCACATACAACAGCATTGTTTGCAATGTTTGTCCCATATCCTACTTCAAATACACAGGATATAGTTTATATTCAAGCAGACAAATCTGTGGGGTCATAAGATGATGTCTGGTACGCGAACATATTCTTTAAACATTCCCATAATCTTACTTTTTTAGGATAGTTTTACTTCTTTAAGCCTCTAAAATATTTGAATACACAAAGAAAATATTTATATTTATAAGTTTAAAACCAACCAGTAGACATGTGCAGTCAGTGACAGTAAGTCCTAAGTATATGCTTAGTTTTCTGACACTGTCCTCCTTTAAAAACGAGCCCATATGTAGTGTGTGGCAGCAGCTTATTACGACCCATTTACGTTTAATTGTGCGACCTCTAGTGGCCGTATTAATTATGAAGGGAGCAAAGGATGAAGTCAGGTGACGTCGCATTAAGAGCGACAAAGTTCACGTCAGGAAGAGGTTGGGGGTGCATGAAAACATGGCCACAGGAACTAGGGGTGCTGCAGGTGCTCATGCCTAAACCTAACCAATCCAACCAGTGAAGGCAACGATCATTAGCCAATCAGAGGCAGCGTAGGGCGGATCATGTCAACTCTATTAGTAGGATTCCTAACTTTACTTCCGGTTGTAGCATCGATAGCTAATCGACGGATAAAATCAAAATGGAGGAAAAGCGTTTTTCTTGGCAAACCACCAGCTAAAGAGAGCACAGATGAAAGTAGCTCCAACAGCATCGTTTTCGTTTGGTTGTAGTTTTTCCTCGGAGACGGAGACTGCCGCCAGAGTATCAGCATTAGCACCGCTACCGTTGAGGCGCGTGCTGCTAACAGGTGTTAAGCTAGGACTGATTTGGCGGCATTTGAGGAGCCTCTCCAGCCAGACATTCTGGGAAAGAAACTTTCAGCCGCGCATTCACACCAAGTTGGTTTGCTAAACGGAAGCGGAGTTTGTTACCAGTTGTGTGTTTTGCATGAAGAAGCAGCAGCAGAGGGAAACCGGTCGATTTGGTGCCCCCTTCACCTTCCCGAGGAGCTGGACCCAGCGCGTCCTGATGGCCACATCTGGATTATTATAACTACTGGAGCACCTGACCTGCAGCTCAAGGTAAGTTATTTTGTTTAGGCTGCCGCCGAGCAGTTTAATATTCAGCTGTCACTTACTTTGAACACCACACTGATATACCTTTGTTAGAGAAAAAAAAAAGTGCGTATTTGGATATGTTCTTGTGTGTTGCGCGCAATGAGCTATTGGACCTGCTAGTGACAATACAGGTATACATTTGATGGTGTGTTATTGTTAGCTGCCGCCGAGCAGTTTAATACTGAGTTGTCACTTACTTTGAACTTCACACTGATATTACTTTGTTGAAAAAAATGTGCTTATTTGGATATGTTCTTGTGTGCCCTGCGCAATGGGCTTTTGGACATGTGTATTGCAATGTTATGGCATTATTGTGAGCTATTATTGTGCAATAGCATTGCTGAGTCCTTGTTTATAGTTCTGGCTGCTGTTGTTGTTACTGCTGCTGCTTTTTTGGTCTGAGTGTGTGTAGTAGTATTGTTGTAGGCCTGTATTGTATTTGTATGGGTTGTATTGAATGGATTGGTTTAAAATGCTCTTCCCCCTACAACTTAAAACATCTTCCCGCGGCCCTGCATGAATAGGTCAACAAAATACAGGACTTTGACGCAGGAGGCTGCTGTTTGTTTCCTATTTGTAACCGTGACAACGAAGGTAATCTAACCTTAAAGAAGTACTTATTTTAAACCAAACTCCAATCTTTTCCTTAACCATCGTGCCATATCAAACCAAACTGGGACCGTTACATAACCACGTGTTTATGATTGTAACCATGACGACAAAGGTTTGGTATGTCTGCTGCCATAGGGGCACTGTGTCAGAGATGCTCTTATGAGTCGTATCGGAGGGTTCAAGTTGGTGGACCTGTTGGTCACAAACCAAAAAGCAGAAAAGGTTGTAAATCACTGCATTAAAGCTGCAACATGCAACTGAGTTTATGATGACAAGAAATAAATAGGATGGCAGTCTGAAACTGGATTTTCAATGTTGTTTATCTTTTTTTGGGAAGCACATGTTTCATGACTATCAATGTAACTGCATCAGCCACTAAACGGGGAAGCAAAAGCAAAGAAGAAATCAAGCAAAGAAAAGGTGGAGAAATGAAAAATCAATGACAAGTGTCTCAGAAAATTTACCAATGAATCTTGTTCATTTGCAAATTGGCTGCTTTTACCGTATGTTTATTACATTCTGGTGCTAGTCACTTTAGCTTCAGGCTGAATGACAGCTGATCAAGATGAGTGACAGGTGTTGGTGGGGGGAACGTGACTAACGCAGGGGGAGGAGGAGGAACATTACACTTCCTGCCTCAAGGTGAAAAGTTACATCTGTTTTTTTTTTTTTCTTCTTTCTTTTCTTTTCAGCACAGCATATGTTCACAGTAACTTACACCCTGTATGTTGTGTCAGTAGGTGCTGATATCAGCATTTGCTGTCACGAATACTGGCTCAGATGTGTGTTTTTCCTGAAACGAGCGCGGTTAGAATGATATGTCCTTTTAATGGAAGAGTTGAGGTGCTTGTGTTGGAAAGTATCCAGTGAGTCTGCAGAATAAATAAAGAAGTGAACTGAGATGATAAGTGCAAAAGAGGGAGGACTTAACAAGCTTCAAACTGTGCTCTCATTGTGATTCAGAGCAGATGAGATGCTGCTTTTGCTCATAATCTTTTTCTTCTCCTGAGTTGAAGTTTCTTTTAATATTCAAATCAATTCTCCTGACAGAATTTTGCATGGTAATTACTGTTGTTGTATGACAGGAAATGTTCTGAATGGTCCATATCAGCATCACAGAATAAGGCAGAATGAAGAATTTATTAGGCTCTTTTGAAATTATGGTGCTGCTAATAACACAAGCCATAAGAGAGAAATAATTGCTGTCAAAATCAACAACAAAATAAAAAATGGCAGGAAGGAATCACAGGCAGAAACACACCTCTAAAACACTCTTTCATGCACACCAACCTCCATCCATTAGCCACACATTATTGTTAACAGCATTATCATAATCTCATTCGCTGCCTGTTGATTTGATCATCCTCTTGTTACTAGCGTAGTCGTCACGCAAAGACATCCCTCATGCTCACCCTATCAGGTGCACACTACAGGGATAGAGGCATAAATCTCAGCAAAACTAGGAAATCAGAAAAACGAGTTAAGCCAATTCCCTTGTTACTCGTGACATGCCGTTCAGTCTTGGGTTCAGTTTGGTTGTGTTTATTTTAGGCAAATTCATCATTATCACATCTTGTAGAGGAAAATGTGTCTTGTTTTTTTTTTTTCAGAGCTATGTTACTGTGACCGATGTGATTAAATGCGGATTTTAAAACATTTTTTTTAATAGGATTATCAAACCAATTTCGATATTAAATGTTTATTCAAGACAAACAAGCCAATCATGAATGTGAACCAGCAAAAAACACAGTTCAGTTTCAAGTGTTTTCTATCTGTATTAAATTGAACTGAACTGACTAAAAAGCTTTAGGCTCATTTAAACATTAAAACCCTTTAGGTAATGTAGCTGTTAGTAATGTGCCTTTGAAAGATGCGTCCTGCCCCTTTAACTAAGGGCAGGGCATCATAATGTGATTTCCTACTCATTTACTTCCAAATGGCTATAAACAACAGTTAGAATGAAGTGAAGGAGTGTGTTTGTGTTTTTTTTTTTTCTCTTCTGTCTATGGACTTGGCAGTCAATTCCTCCTGTGAGTGTTTCAGTATTGCTTTGGACAGCAATTTTCTAAAAGGCCTTTCAGGAGGCTCAGAAGTGATTGTGCTTGGTCAAGTGAACTGGCCTCGACTGGCAGCTAAGCTAAGCAAAATAGGTGTTGTGTTGTACAACTGCTTCAGCTGCGGACCGTTTTACTCGTGTTTAAAGTAAAACACAAGTGAGCATTTTGGACCGTAAGAGCAAAACAGAGACACATTCACTGCTGACGATTTATGGCGCAACAAATTTTTGGAAGGAGTGGCTCTTCTGAGCGAGCATCCCACGCTCATAAAGACAAATAGCTTCTGAAAAATCCACCAGGACCTGTTTGTTTTGCCTAAGTAGATCATGTGGGAGAAAAAATGAGCAAAATATGTCATGTGGAAGAGAGTTATGACACTTTGGCTTCACTATTCTGTACTTTCACGCAGCTGAAGGATGCTAAGGAGGGACGAATCTTACCGCCATTTTGTCCGTCTGTTCTGAAACCAGGTCTTGACTTGTGCGTCTGTCATCTTCAGGGCCTTGGCCAAGGTGGCACGCTCGGCCGACGCCAGGTATTTCTGTCGGTGAAATCGTTTCTCCAGCTCGCAGATCTGCACCCGGCTAAAGGAGGTGCGAGGCTTTTTCCTCTTGGGCGGCGTCCGGTTTTGATAAGGGTGGCCGATACGACGGGTCACAGAGAAGGGCGAGAGGGCTGCTGGAAATGCAGAAAAAAAAAGGAATTTATTTGACTTTAGCTAGTTTGGTTTAGTTATTCATGAAGCATTGTGTATTTAGTTGATTGGAGCTTTAGACGTTATACACATCATTCTTAAAAAAGTCAGTGTTAGCATTAGCAATAAGGTGACTGAGTAATTGAGGTGTTTGGACGTTCATCTTTGGGCTTAAGATGAATGTTTGTTAGTTTCAGTGGTTATTTCCATTTCTAAACTGCAGTGATCTGTGCTTTTAAAGAATAAACTTATTTCCCTTGAGGTTTTGTTTGTACACACTCATGTTATAAACACAATCCTTGGTTAAATAGAATTAATTTCCAGTTTGTTTCAACTTGAAAAACCAGTGTGTTTTGTCAGGGAGTCTAACAGAAGACCCAGGAGCTGCCAAGTGAAGGAGATAAATGTAATTTCCACTACAATTCCCCTGCCACATTTTTGAAAACCAAACAGCGCAATGAACTTTACAGACAGGAAGTCAAAGGAAAAGTCATAGAGGGACATTTTGAAAGCTGGGATATGCAAATATATAATAACTCAAATTAAGACATTTCTTGCAGCTGGTGATAAATTGGCTTTTTTAGAATTAAAAGATTAGTACGAATCTAAATTTAAACTTCTGCAATACATTTTCACAGAGACAGAAACATTTCAAAGTGTAAGTGGCATTAATAAAAAACTCTTTGCAGAGCACACGAGAGGGATGCACTTAAAAATCAGCTGTGACACAAATGAGTGAGGTAAGGGAGGCGGTTGGTAGAGGGAGGGGGTGACTCACCTGGGCAACCCCCCTTTGGGAAAGGATAGTCTGCTAGAAGGCCATTGCCGTCTCGCAGGTGAGCGAGCTCGGGGTAATAGCATTTGGCTAATGTCTCCACAGTGCTCCAGACAGGGACCCTGCCGATGTCTCCCTTGGGGAGAGGACAGAGGGACCCGGCGGCCCCCGGGCCCCCTGTGGCCTCTCCAGCTCGGCTCTCCTCTGCCTGCTCCCCTAAAGGAAAGGGAGACACAGTAAGGTCCCACATCTGGAGCACAGCAGCAGCAGCAGCAGCTGCTGCCGGGCAGGCACCGACGCATAGGAGCTAATCACATGATGAGGCCTGAGTGATGAACAGAGGCTACTTTAATGTTATTTACTGCTAGTCTCTTAAGTTAGCATTTGGAGAGGTTTCACTTTAAAAAAAGAAAAAGAGGTACCTTCCATTTGGAAAAATAAGTGACATCTAGCAGGATTACTAAGATAAATCAAGCACATACTAGTCAGCAAATCAGAAACAGGCAGTCAGGGTCATCTGATGATAAGATGATGAAGGTCAAAATATGATTAAATAACCACTTTGATAATGTTAACCTACTTCAGACAATAAAATTACTATTCACAGACTTAACATAACAAAGTACAATTTTGTAGAATAAAATTTCTGCCATCAGTCCAGTCAAATTAAAACATATTCAATTTTTGCACAAAATATCTTCCATACAGAAATCAAACATTTGTCCTTTAAGCTTGTAACGATAACCTCACATGACTGATCATGCATGTACAGGGCTACATGTATTGACTTGACTGTTTTGTGTCGTTCCAGTTGCTTTGTCATTGTGTCTGTTCAAATTTATAAATTGGACACAGTCATTGTAAGAGTCTGTATTGTGTTTTTTCTTCCATCTGTGCCTCACTGCCTGGTGGTTCACTTTCATATATCTGGGTATTAATAACAACTTATCCTCGGCATCATAAAATATCTATGAATCCTGTCTATTTTGTCAGCTATGGGTAAACAGAAGATCAATAAATGTAATGAGATCGTTTTTGGCCATAGATCCACTCCCCAGCTGCATTCGCATTTTGAGGCAGAATGGAAATCAACAACAACTCTGTCTCTCTCTTTTTCTCTCTCTCTCTCTCTCTCTCTCTCTCTCTCTGTATCTTTGTGTCATTCCTCCCCAGCAAGCTGTTTTGCCTGCTGTCTTACAGGGTGTTTATTTGTTTTTGTTTTGTCAGAAAAGCTCACCAGGAGCCAAAATGAATATGAAAACATCTGCATAGGTGTCCCCCGAGGGCCACGTGCTGCTACCGCTGCTGCTTCTGCTGCTGCTGCTGCTGCTGCTGCTGCTGCTCTCAGAGTTTCAGCGACCTGAAAATTCATTTGCCACACAGACGATGACAATTTGGATGGAAAATGGAACATGAAGCTATTATGCGCTCCGCAGTCGTTTCCAGGGAGCTGCCGACATCCCCTGATGGTGCTGAACACGAGTGGCAAATTGAGGCGTACGCGAGCAAATGATTTGCAAAGTAAAGATAAATAGCTGCAATGTGCAGTTACAGTAGGTCGCACAAAGTTAACGTTACCTGGGTGTAAATTAGCGATGCAGATTTAGAGCCTGAAATGAAAACTCACAACCTTTTATTGTCTTTTCTACTTTTATAGTGACCTTTTCTTTTTTCCCCCTCTTCTTCTCATTATTATTTTTAATCTCCTCTGGTAATATAACATTATTATCAGGTTTCACATTATGTGTTGCTCTGATGCTCAATAATAGTAAAATGGTAATTGTATCCTTTTAATATTCCTTTTGGGACTTACACAGGCATCTATGGTATTTAATCATGAGTTTATAGTGAATTTATTTATATTATGTTTCTATAATATTCCTATAGGTGCTCACACTGGACTGTAGCACCTTTGTGGCCCTTAATAGTGAATTTATGGGGGACCTTATTGCACTGCATGGTATGTTTTTAAATCTCCAGCTTCTTATGAAGACCATTCTACGGTATTTCCATAATATCTACATTTAAGCAGCTGTTTCCTTTTGATTGGCTTCTCATTGCCCAAAACTATGTGTAGCCTTATGGGTTACACGCTGAGTATGCGAGCAGGCCTGTTGTTGCTCCCAGCGGCAGGTCTGGCTGAATAATACTGCATTAGATGGCTATTTCAGGCCATCTGTAGGCTAACTAATGGACCAGGCACATAGAAGCACGTTCAGAGGCAACCCAACATGCAGCAGGAGCCCTCTGGACCTGCCAACTGCAGCAAGGCTTCACCTTACAATGTGCTAAACACTGGTAAATATATGATACTGAGATGCTTTGGATGTTGCATCAGTCACGTTTAATGTTTTGACTGAGGGTGTAAGCCTAAGACTGCTCAGCGATCAGATACGCCCTCAGATTTCTTTCTTTCTATTATTACTGGGGCTGTAACTGATGTGCATATATATATATATATATATATATAAATATATATAAACAGAACAACAATGATGTAATGTTTGAGGTCTTGTAGTCCAGCACTGGCTTGGCTTTTAAACCGACATCTAAATTGAAAGACTGTCCCTGCTCAACTGCATCAGTCCTAATGAAATAACATGAATCAAAATAAACCCGATTCAGAATATTCCTGTGTCAGATCTGTTCATAAAAGCCTCTTCTGTCACTGTAAAATAACCAGGCCCCACAGTATTGTAGGGAAAAATAATATGTACAATACGAAAGGTACAGAAGACAATTAATGCCACTTTGAAATAAGATAAAGAAATTTATCCAAATTGTGCGTTAAAAGTCCACACAGAAATATTAAAGGCAGCTTATGGAGCAAACTTTCCATTGATGATGTATTGTTCCTGCATGTTGAGTCTAAATCCAGTGAACTGAATAGTGATTGTGGTGAAAAGTTTGCATCTTTAGTCCTGAGCATTTACTATACAGTGTAAAATCAATTATTAAATATTGCTGTAATACTTAATTATTTTTCCTGAGTATTAATAGTTTTCCTGAACAGTCTGGAAAACAGTTAAAGAGTTAATGAAGCTGTGTAATGGATGTGGAAAATCCTATTCACACGGGTGGAGGTCATGTGTTGTTCAAACAATCATTTACTGTATTTAAAAAGACGGAAAAAATCTTGTTCCCTTTTTAAAAAAAAAAAAAAAAAAAATTAAAACAAAAATCATGTGATTTCTTGTTTCACCTCCGTCAAATAAAAAAGAAAATGGGCTGGAATGCTAAATCTGCTGCCTGGGTAATACAATTTAGCATAAGCATATCAAAAAATAAAATGCTACCGTGGAGAATATGTTTCCCATAATAAAACCACTTATACTTAATAATACTTCTCGGTGACAGCGCCTCCCTTCCCCACTGCGGATATTACCTTTGTAGCAATCTAATAAATATATCCGTGAAGGATTCTAAAGGGGATATTGAAATATAACATGAACATATATTGCTATTTATTACACTATACGGGACAAAAGGCAGGGAGACTGTCTTCTGTCACAGCGAGAACCAGGACAGCTGGAAACGCACAAGGACAGGAGCGGGTCCAACACGGAAATAAACTCACATTTTTCTGCTCTGCTGCCATTAAAACCCAGACAGAGATTTACAGGAGAAAAAAAAGGTTTAATTATGTTTTTTATTGGTGCTACGCGGCCTGTAGAGCTACACGTGCTGCATGCTGTTTATTGCAAAGATGCCCAAACGATCCACATTATCGCCTGTTGTTATTATTATTATTATTATTATTATTATTATTATGATTAGTATTAGAAGTATTATTATTCTAGAACATCCTTTAAATTACTGGATTACTAGATTTGGCCGTCGGCAGCCATTTGGTCATTAGCAAATATCCGTGTTTGTCCACATTTATTTATTTATTTTTTGTTTCAAGGTATTAAAAATCATTATTATAAAACTTGGCTACTTCATTTACTGTTTTAATTTAATTCATCATTTTTGTTTGATTTATGTGTTTTTATTTAATCAAAATCCTTTGCTGAGCATTGAGCAGATTTAAAAATAGATCTAACTAAAAAATAACTTCTATAATAAAGTAAAATCAAGTCCTTTTTCTTTTCTTTAGGACACACAGAGAAATAACACTGCTGTTACACCGCAACAATTATGCTTTACTACTACTACACTACTATACTAATAATTACTGTACTATAATAATAATAAGAACAAGAATTATAGTGTCAAATTAGTGGTGAATAAGTTTAAGCCCATAAGCCCTGAACAGAGGAGCTGGTGATCAACATGAGCCCTGTCGATATAAACAAGTCTTATTTTCAGACCTGGATTAAATAATGCCTTTAACACCCCAAACCTTAATCCATCGCGTCAGTCTGACACAACTCCTCAATGATTTAGACTGCGACGTGAATTTGAGCCACACGGACTCATGACTCATGTCAGTGTGAAAAATTAGAAAAATCTATTGTGCAATTTTACATCCAAGCTAAAAAAAAAACACGTCCCCCATGGCTGCCAGGGCTGAGGAGCCTTTGGCAGCAGCACGTTGGGCTGTTTGAAGCTGAGAGGACGGTTTTTATTTTTTTTTTTTTGGTTTTCTCTCCTCGCGTTTCAACTTGGAAAGCGACGAGAAAAACAAGAAGCAGAGAGAAACATTTAAAATGGTTCTCTGCCCATCAGGACAGATGATAGTCTTTTTGATTTACGGCCTTTTATAGAAAACAGAGCAGGCTAAATCTGGATAGCGCGCACGCGTGTGTGTGTGTGTTAGGTGTGTGCGTGTGTGTGTGTGTGTGGGTGTGTGTGTAGCTGCTGCTGCTGCTGCTGCTGCTGCTGATCTTTGGCTGATCAATACAGTGGAAAGATATAAGCTGCGAAATAATTACAGCGACACAAAGCTGAGAGAGAAATTAAACGAGAGGCCCTCGGTGACTATGAGTAAAATTGATAAGCCTATTTACACTGTATCTTTTTGCAGTTGACATATCGTCCCCCGGTTTTGAATAATTAATCAGCTCGAAAGAACGGAACAGTGAATATTTAATGCGTGGAGAGGTGGGTGAGGGGCTAAGGGTGCGCAAATAATCCATGGTGTTCTTCATTTTCATCTTCATAACGGTGAGGTCATGAGAAAAAAACAACAACACAGGAACCACCCCCTTCAAAATAGGAAAATAAATAAATAAACTACCATAACCTACATACAATAATAGATTATGAAAAGTCTGTTTACAGCAGAAATAACTCTGCAGGTTGACTTTTTTCTTTTTACAAAAACAAAAGGAATAAGTTTTTTTTTTTTTTTTTAAAGTTACATGTAGTTTAATGCTTTTGTCACACCAGTAATCTTTATGTAAATGTATATGCAAAGAAAGGCTGGTTTAACATCGAGCCAGGGGAACAGTTGACAATGAACCTTTTGTCTGACACTGGTACTTTATTAGTTCTGTTCATCAATGTGATCAATATGTTCCTGTAAAACTAAACTAATACATTAAAAAAATGTTTTTTTTGTCTCTGAGGCTGTAAACGCCTATTTGAATAATAATAATAAAAAAACGTTATTATTTGGTTTTACAGGTAAGATACAAAAATACTAAGAATGCATAAAAATGCTGTGAACTAATACAAAACAATAGCATGTAAAATATGAACCTGAGGATATTTAACGAAGATTATTTGCACTATAGACAGTAGAACTAGACTGCCTTATAAAAAATTATAAAATAATAATGAAATAATTATGCATCCTAGTTTCTTTATTTCTGTTCATTATTAATTGAAAAAACATTATTTGTTTTGTTTTTTTTGTTTTTTATCTTATTCAAAAAAAGAGGAAAAGAAAATCCAAGGGCTATTAAATCAAAAATAAACTATCTAGAATCTACTAAGATTGTATTATTGTAGTGTCATGGAATTTATTAATAATGTACTGTAAGTTATTTTTGCATTCCCTTTAAATTCACAAGCTAACAGAGAAAGAAACAGTAATTTTAGACAACAGAAAAATAACGGGTTGACCAAATCCTCAGCCTGAACTTCATGAGTCCAATGAAAGCGAAGCAACGGAATGTGAACTCTTTAATAGTAATAACTAAATGTGAATTTTGCAGATTAATTATGTGTACACCTTTTTTCTTTTTAAATAAATCGCATTTTAGTATGCAATGTTATGTTAGAATTTAAAAAATGTGGATTAAAAAGACTCATCCACTATAAATTCTAAACGCTATGAAAGCATAATAATAATAATAATAATAATAATAGGTAATATACTGTAATTATCCACTGTTATAGAGATTTTAACCTGCCATATGTTGTTACTGTTACGACTCATCTTCCTGTTCTCTCGATTGGCTCACAGAGGAAAAAAAAAAATCATTCATCCTCATGAAAAAAAAAAAAAAAACGGGGGACGTCGTTATCCGTCATCCGCTGTAAATGGAGAGTGATGGTCCAATACTGATTCATCAGCATGTCCATGTCAATTTCTCCACTCGTTTGTCAGGCTGCCCTTCCAGCATAATAAAACCGACTCTGTGCGTGTGTGTGCATATACGATTCGTTATAGATACATTACAACCTAAAGATGAAATCACCAGCCTCACTTTGTGGAGCTATTAGTCTCCTTACACCTGATCCTTCAGGGTCTGATTTAAACACAAATGTCAGAAAAATCACAATTCAAACCTGCACGGCCATGAGGGAAATATACACTAATACTAGTACTACTCTGTGAGTGTTTGGCTCATTATTAGAGCGTGAAATGCAGGTGAAGGTACATGAAGGTGTTCTGTAGATTATATAGGACTCCTCTGTTTTAATGGGACAAATCAGCCTACAGGTGTTGCGGTAGCACGAGGAAACTCTTTTTACCTGTTAGTCTGTCTTTGGCAAACCTCCTACTGCTCTCCATCCACGGGAAGGTGAAGTTTGCCGCATTCCCCATCCCCATCCCGGGCACCGAGGGGATGCCCGGTCCGATGCCCGGCGGATGCGTCGAAGGGGGCGGATGCGGCGCAGCGGCGGCGGGCGGTGGTGGCGGAGGTGGCATGGGTCTGTGCGCCGGCACCCGGATCACGCCACCGGCGCCTCCCGAGTTCACGTTAACGTTCATGTTCATGTTCATACTGACGTTCATGTTCATGTTGACGTTGTAGGAGCCGGCCAGTCCTGCCGCCGCCGCCATGGAGCAGGCCGGGTTGTAGACGCTGTTGTACCCGTTGCTGTAGACGTTGGAGGCCAGCGCGTAATCCGGGTCGCCGGTCCGGTTGGGCAGCATGCAGCCGCTGGACTGGTCCGAGCTGTTCAGGATTTGGTCGATCCCGAAGCTGATGGGCTCATGCTGCTGCTGGTGCGTCTGGTTCACCTCCTCGATCCCGGTGTGCTCCATAATTTTATCGGTTTATGTGTTTGTCAGTGTGTTTTATCAGAACAGGGATGTGTTTTTGTCATCTGGTAATTCACGCCTTTGAAGAAAGAAATGTTTGTGTGTTTACAGCAGTACTGGACTGTTTTTTGTTTTCAAGCATCGACACAGGCCTGTTCTACTCCCAGGAAACCAATAACGTGTCCGGCGCTATCCAAAATCTTGCCATTATTTCTGTCCAACAGCGGGGTCGAGTGTTCCCTAAATTAAGTGCCTATCCGTCGGGCAAAGAAAGAGCGGATCCATCTTTAACAGCGTGCTCTCTCCCCGCGAACTAGACACAAGGAAGCCTAACAAGAAGAAAACGCAGCCGAAGACGCAGAGTGGTTATCCTGAGTACTTACAGACAAAAATCCGTGATTGTTTTTTGGAGGGGAGGCAGTTCTCTGGAGGGGCTCGATGCGCTTTGTTCGCCTACTCTGGCAGAGACGATCCATACGCAGGGAGCATGGTAGGATACCCGAGCTCGTTGCATCAAAATAAAGCAGCAGACAAAACAAAACAAAAACCCGAAGAGGCGAAAAGGAAGCGCTGACCTCGCAGGCTGGATATTAATTGGAGGTGAGAGCGAAAGATGGCTCTGTTGTGCTGAATGGTGAAGTGCGTTTCAGCAGGTGAGACAACCCTCTGCGTAAAAGCTGCCATTCGGTCATCCAGCCAAACCTCCCTCCACTCCCTCCCTCTCCCTCTCCCTCCCTCCCTCCCCGGCAGGACAGTTGTTTTGCTCGGATGTCTTAAAGAAACCGCAGCTTTTTTTTTTTTTTTTAATATTCTGCAGCTTTTCTGGTTTTAAACAGGAGGGTTCGTGTCTTTTAGTGGCGCTGAGGCCCGAGTTAAACGCTTTACAAACTGTTTCGCAATAAAACTCGCTTACATATTTGAGATTATAGAAGAATGTCCACATTACACAGTTTGGTCTCATGTCTGATACATTACTCTATAGTTTTAAATTAAAATTGTGTGGTTCAAAAAGTAGGCAGGACCATTTATATACATTTTCTGAAGTGTCACCACATTAAAACCAGATTTTTACTGGACACACCAAATTTTATTTATTTATTTATTTATTATGGTTTGTTTTTCAAAAATAAGTTTATCACTGGAAACACTAATAATAATGCAATAAATGTTTATGTGTCCATCTTCTCTGAGCGTCTTGCTAAGTTAAAGGTTTGTTTTTTCTTTTAAATTTTTAAATTTAAAAAAAAAAAATTCCCAGGCCTCCAGAGATCCCTCCTCTACTTTATAGGATTTTGTTTAGCAACTCTCTCTCTCTCTCTCTCTCTCTCTCTCTCTCTCTCTCTCTCCTGCTGTTGGGCATGATTTGGTACAGGACTTGACAGCAGGTGAGCACTTCGAGGTAGCAATGAATTATGGGTGTCCTATGGTGTGTGCAGTTAAATCAACCACATATTCACCCATGAGATACCATCAGACTCTATAGTGTCGCCCCCCCCCCCCCCTCTCCTGGAGCTTCCTGGTACACAGGAGAACCCACCAATGTTGGGATCAATGAAGACTTATCGAGGATAAGACGAAAACGCGCGGTGCGGATCGTGCTGGAGAATGGGGCCTGACTGGTATCCCCATGTCTATGTTTTATTTATTTATTTATTTTTAAAGGCGGGTTACGTCAGTGCACGGTTCTCCTACAGGATACAGCGAATACTGGATCAGATTTATGTGCACGAGCCGGGCTGAAGCAATAAGCTGTTGCACTGTTACACACAATGAAGCAATAAATCCACTGACATTGACAGGAAGTGCGCAGAGTATCAAGAGTATAGGGGCCTGATTTAAAGCCATTGATAGGCCCAGTCCAACCCACAGTATCACAGAGTAATGAAATGTAAACGATAGATAGATAGATAGATAGATAGATAGATAGATAGATAGATAGATAATTAAACAAATAAATAGCAGGTGGAGTCACATCATGAGGCCAAATGTGAAACGCGCGCGTCGCTGATTTGCACAAATTATTTAACCTTTCTCCGCCCGAAGCGACGACGCGGATCGCCAGGGTCTCAATTCAATAAAGATGAAAAATGGCTCATAATAAAACCGCGACACGGGGAAAAACGAATTTAATATATCACCGTTTTATTACGCACTTATTTCACTTTCTGTGCGAATAAAGATATCTCTCAACTGCACAAGGTGGCTAGAGGGAAGCATAAAAATCAATTGTGTGAATTCTAGGCCATATCAATAACGGTACCGGGGACGAGAACAGTGCGAGTGTAGCTGCTATTAGGCCTGTTTATATTTGCGCGTTACGGTAAAATGAATAGGGGACGAGAGGATGCGCCGAGCCTCAGATCAGCTTACTGACAAGGTAATTGGCCGTTTATGCAAAACCAGGAAGATCTATGGGCAGGAGGGCGGAAAATAATGTTTGAAAGCCTCTTTGGGGTGGCCCAACACTCCTCTCCCTGTCGGTGATGTCAGCAGCTCAGACCTGATCGTGCATCAGTGCCACAAACCGAGTTGTGTGTTTACACCAAGGCAGGGGGTTCCCAAACTTTGCCATGTCAGGGATCCCCACAACAGACTGTGATCCTCTTCCTGGGCCAACACTGGGTTAAATGGAGAGTTTTAGTGAATATGGATCAGGACAAAGCTATCTCTGTCTTAAGAGTACTTTGACTTCTGTTTGAACTTTTAGATTTGTCATATCTTTAATTATTTATATCTTAAACATAATGTCTTTTCATCATTTGAATTGCTACTTTTTATTCCTTTTTATTATTGCATATGCAAAACGTGTATATGTCCACGTGTATATGGACCTTCGAGCCAAATTCCTATGTGAAATCACAGTATTTATATGTAATAAACTGCCTGTAAGCAAAGTGCTGGTGAGAAGTTTCTTATCAGTTGTAGGTTGGAGTTGCATGGCTCTCTGTTATTGTTGTGGAGGTGGAAGCTGTCAGACTTATTCCCATGCATAGACCAACTGCACCAGCATTTAGTCAGTGAAATTAACATCCCATGCTTCAGCTCCTGATAACCACTCAAAGAATATTGTGTTGGTTTATGATGCTAATTTGTGAATGTGAGAGCAGTAAAAGTATTATACTGTATCCCTGCGCCAACCCAGCCTTAATGTGGAACATCTCAATGGTAGCTATACTTTTTTATTATTAATTATTTCAGATTGATTTCTTGCTTTGCTGTAGGTTTTGTTTTACATTCGACCAAAAGAAGAAGAAAAAAAGACAGAGCCTGCTGCTATTTTAAACTCTATGCATTCAAGTTTAACAGTTTCATACTAAACTTCCAAAGTAATCCACAAATGACAAATACAAAGTGTTTCAGATTTACACTCAATGATTGAAACCTTGTTTATGAGAGGGCATCTGATTTTTCTTTAGAGAACCATTAGAGTTTTGGCAGAAACTAAAAACAATCCTCATAACTCACATCGTGAAGCAGAAAATTCCTAAACCTTTCCACGATGCGTCCTGTTCACACGAGGCAGGGCCCCGCATGTGCATGAATGAGGCTCTTTGCCAACATGTTGAGCACAATGGTAAAACTGTAAACCTCTAATGATCAGGAGCAACATCAGACTTCTCTCTATTGAGACTGACAACCGGAGATTAGACACCAAGACACCAAGTGTCTCGTTTCATTATTCTCAACAGTTCAGGCTGTTCACGACGATCAGCTCCCAAGAGTTTAATGAAGCTTCAAGGAATTAAAATGATTATTTTAGTTAGTTATTTGATTTGTAATGTGTCTCATGTCATTTTTATGTTTATGTTTTTACATTGTAGTTGAGATTGAGGTGGAAGAAATATTTTCCCACCATTTCTGAGCAGAACAAAATACATTTTTTTTAATCATTTCTATATGAAAACCATAAATAAACTGTTTCTTTTTTCAAATAAAAGTCATTTTTTTCCTCTTGACCATCAGATAGAGCTCAAAAAGATAATTTAGTGACATAATATTCAGCCAAAATGTTATTTAAATACCTTTTTACACCAAATCTTATGTATCTCTGATGCTATTCTGCAAAGAGAAACACTGTGCTCTTGCTCTAATATCTTGTTGAAGTATCTTCATTAGCTTTTTGCTAATCTTATACATCTCTCAATCTGCTGCTGCAACGACCCAGTTCTCCCATCAGGATCATTAAAATTTTATCTAATAAGCTATAGCTGCAAAGCATGAGGGGATTGGAATTATTATTATTTTTAAATACAGATCCCTGACTTACTATGAGCTGCCACTATAGAAGTGGCTATAAAACAGGCCAATAACAGGTCCACCTATAGGTTTTAAATGCAAACTTGACGTGATGCTGTGCGGGATTGTAATCAGCAATTTTACTAATGCAATAAAATCCCATTGCCAATTAAAGTATACCCCCCCCTCACACACACTCACACACTCACACACACACGCACACACACACTCACACACACACTCACTGAGGCACACACACACCCTCTCTCAATATGAAAGCCCCTTGCTGACTTTGCCCAAAGGCGTTGTCTATGGTTGCCGGCTGTGCGTGATGAATCGTTATCTCCAGGCCATGCTGCTCGTGTGGGTAATAAAGTACCAGCAAAGCGGAGACAAAAGGAATTTGTCACAGTTGCCTCCCCGATATATTAGTGACCTACCGGTCGGTTTAGCTTTCATTTGGTGGGGAGAGGGGGGCGGGCCGGGCCGGGGGCCTGCACACCAAATTAAAATGAAAAGAAAGAAATAAGAAGCAGAAACAGGGAAAGGTACGTGTGTCAAGTTAAGTCATGAGCCAGCAGAGGTTTGGTTCAGGCGTTGGAAGAGGAGGATGTAGACCTCCTACAGGGACTACAAATATATCACACTGCTACTGCACTACTGCCGCCATCATTCAGCCCCTGCTTCCCCGCACGCGCCCTGTCGTTTAATGCTATTTTCAAGCTAATCAGCGCATATCTGAAGCGGATTTTACGCACACTTTTACGCAGGTGCGCTGAACGCGTCTCAGCCAATCAGAGCTGTGTATTCTGTCGATAGTTGTAAAGCATTTAAATCGGATTGTATAGATAATCAAACATCAGTAATTTTCACACCAAGCTTACAGA